ACCTGCCTTCCATTTCCTTATAATCATCTCTGTTCTGTTTTGGTTTAAGAATTATTTATTTAATTTATTTTAAATTTGCTATAGGGCACATATGCTCACCAGAGAGCTAGAAAGACTGAGAAGGCAAGCCACCAGGTCTGGGACTCGAACTGTGGTTGGCCATATGGGAATCCAGTGTTTTAACCACTACACCATCTGTTGGCCCCACCATCTCTGTTTTAACAGCAAGACTTAGATGTTTAAGACCTGGTCCAAGTCCATCTGGCCTGGTTCGGTTCTTCAAACAAGGATCAGAGTCACTTGGACCAGTAGAGCAGTGAACTTGGGACAGAACTAACAGCTTTCTTTTCATTTATTTCAGATTAAGTTCAGTGCGACCTGGAGACACCTTGTATACTCAGTTCCAGGTCATACCCACACACACAGGGCTCCAGAGGCTCACTGTGGAAATGGACTGCAACATGTTCCAGAACCTAACCAACTACCGAAGTGTCACTGTGGTAGCTCCTGAATTTTCAGCTTAAACTTCCAGCTCTGTCAGCACTCTTCCCAACTAACCCTTGAAACTACAACCTAAAACCAAATGTGCTGAAAAGGGTAGCCTGGGATGATATTTAGGATTAAATGATAGGAATATTATTATACAACACAGTGAAGTACCATGAGAGACTCTAGAGTCATCTTCTCTAAATAAAGTCATGTGTCTGTTTTTGTTCTAAATATATTTATTTTTTTATTTTTCAAGAATTATTTTATTTGGGACCAGCAGATGGTGTAATGGCTACATCACTGGACTCCCATATAGTCAACCACAGTTCAAGTCCTGGACCTGTAAGTTTAAACTCACCCCAGGTGCATGTGTGTAAGCAAGATCCTGAGAGGAGAATGGAGGAGAAGGGACTGTGGCATGGCCATCCCTCCTGGGGGGTGATTCCTCGCTTTCTGTCTCTCTGGCAAGTGCACATGCCCTATGGCAAAAAAAAAAAAAAAAATTGAGACCAGCAGATGGCATAATGGTTATGTCACTGGACTCCCACGTAGTTTACCATGGTTCAGGTCCTGGACCCAGTGACTTAACCCTACTCCCAAGATTCTGAGAGGAGAATGGAGAAGAAATTGCAACATGGCCATGGTGGAGAGGGTGATTTCTCACTTTCTGTCTCTCTGGCGAGCACACACACTCTATAGCAAAAATATAATTTAAAATAATTATTATTATTTAATTTTATTTATTGCCATCATTATTCTTTAATTTGACTGGGGTTGGGGGCAGTGAGAAAGCAAGCCACCAAGTCTGGGACTCAAATTGTGGTCAACCATGTGGGAGGGAGTACAGTGTCTTAACTACCATGTCACCTGCTGGCCCCAGTTCTAAGTATATTTCTGATAGAGTCAGAGCTATAGGCCTGTAAACTCAGACGAAAGTAATATTCTCGTCTCGCCCACTGTATTTCTGCTGGAAAGAAACTTTGGAAGGGTATTCATTTCATCACTAGCAGGTGAGTGTTTTATTGAGACCATCAACACTTTTAACAATGAAACAACACACTTTATTGCAAATAGGAGTAAGGCAGTTTCCCTAGGAATCTCTGATAGGCAATTCTGTAGCACAAATTCATGCAATTATCTTTTATACCTAGCACAGAAAAATATATCACACTCATACAGTGTATAAATAACTGCAAGTCTGGCCTAACCAACAATCTTTGGTAATAGTGTCTCTCGTTGAATATAGACAGGAACTCCCTTTCTATCCAGGAAGCATTCTAGCTCCACTTTAAAAACAGAATCAGAGTTTGTCTGTGTGGATGAGAAAAGAGAGAAGAGAGTACAAATGAGCCTGAAAACTCATGATTCAAGTTCATTCTGAGTGAGCTCCTTGATTCTGTTCATGCAATGATCTACAGCATTAATGAGTAAAGGGATCCAACTATCTTCTGGCTGAGGGGTCACATGACTCGCTCTGCAAATGAAATAGGAAAGAGAAGTTAAGTTTATTGTTGTGTCAAGGGAAAGTTATACTCAAGAGGGAGCACAGAGAAAATTATAGTAAGAAAAAGCAAGTTTCTGTGTAGAAATTTAGCTGCTCTACAACCGAAGTTGGAAGAAAACCTCATACCTGACCTTTCTCACTCCTTGAAATGGGGGCTCAGAGTAGAGAATGGCTGAACAGGAACTCAGTTTTATTTTCAAAAAGGTTTCTGATCAGTCTAGCCACAGTTGTGCATACTGGATGTTGCTGCCCGGCAGGCTGATGCCACGTTAGAGCTCAGGTTCAACTCCAGACCCACCCTTAAAAGGCCAGGTACAGTGGTACATGCCTCTAGCACCAATTACTCAGAAGACTGAGACAAAAATCAAGACACAGCAAGATACTACCTAAAAGACACAAACATACATATACCACAACACACACACACACAGCTGGGAGAAGTCCTCATACTTACTTTGTAATTTCAAGTGCCTTCTTTAAAACAGATACAAGTTTCGCAGACTTAAAAAGAAGAGAGAGAAAAGTTTTTTACCCTGAGACTTTCTATAAAAAAGAAAAGAGCATGAATATCTAAAAAGGCCTAGTAATAAAATGATTAAAAAAAGAATCTGGGGACCAGCAGTTGGTGTAATGGCTGTGTCGCTGGACTCCCATGTAGTCGACCATGGTTCGAGTCCTGGACCTGGTGGCTTACACACACACCAGGCACATGTGTGTGCGTGCCCAGTATCCCAAGAGGAGAATGGAGGAGAAGGGACTGCGGTGTGGCCATCTCCACTGGGGGGTGATTTCTCTCTCTCTGTCTCTCTCTCTTTCTGGCAAGTGCATGTGACCTATAGCAAAAACCTCTCAAAAAAGAAAACAAACAAAGAAACAAAGAATCCGAAGGGGGCAGTAAGTGGCATGGTAGTTAAGGCACTGGACTCCCACATGGCCAACTGTAGTTTAAGTTCCAGACTTGGTGGCTTAAAAAATCACGCTAGGGGGACCAGCAGTTAGCGTAATGGCTATGTCGCTGGACTCCCATGTAGTCATC